CTGGAGCAGATCCGACCGGCACACAGGTCACATAGGGGCTTATACTTCTGGTAAGAGCACATGCAATTTTAAACCCCACCTGTCACACACGAAATTATAAAGAATAAAATGCATGCTTCTAAAAAAAAAAAGAAAACAAGAAGCATTTCTTATGAGAGATTAAGTAAAAGAACGAAGTACATGGCTGTACCTACTATCCAAACTGCCCTGCCTTCACCCCGTGCGCTTTCACCTGCTCAGGGCAGGGTCATCACTAGATGTCTGGGTGCCCAGTTAAGTGGAGGACCTCACAGATGTCATCTAGTTTGACCCTCACTAACAGATAAGAGGCTTAGAAACTTTCCTACAGCCCTGCTGGTGTGGCTCAGTGGTTGAGCATCGACCAAAGAACCAGGATGTCGCACTTCAATTCCCGGTCAGGGCACATGCCTGGGTTGTGGGCTCGATCCCCAGTGGGGGTGTGCAGGAGGCAGCCAATCAATGATTCTCTCTCATCATTGATGTTTCTATCTCTTTCTCCCTCTCCCTTCCTCTCTGAAATCAATAAAAATATTATTTAAGCCATAACCAGTTTGGCTCAGTGGATAGAGCCTCGGCCTGCTAATACTGTAAGTGGAAGTGAGCTTCAATTCTACTCTATGAGCGTTGTCAGCCATGTTACAAGGTAAAACAATGATAGTCTAGTTTGATTTGATGAGAACTAAAAAATACTGTAAATTATCAAGAATACTAGTTAGAAAATATATGTACCTTTACTGTCACTAATAATTACTTTTGCCTAAGTGAATATCACACCTTGAGCTGGTGACCAGGCTTAGAATGGAGCCAACACCTTTAGCAGGACATTTAAAAACTAAGCATTCAGAACACAAACAAACCTTGACACTTTTTAAGCTGTGCTTAAGGGCGATACTCAATCCATACTTTAATAAATGTCAGGAATTTAGTCATCAATGGTGAGAAGCTGGTTCAAGGTTTCTGACTGAGGACAGACTTGCTGGCAGTACCAGGGGCCCCCGGCGCTCTGCAGAGCCCCTCGTGTAAAACTGTCCTGAATTTTAGACGTGCTAGTCCAGCGAACCTCCCATCTAAATGGCAAGTTGCCTCAACATTTCAACCTGGTGAGTTTAGAAAAACAAAACACCATTTCCACAAATGGAAGAGAGTTTGCTCCAGGGGCAGTGAATAATTCATGCGGCTCTAAAAGCACTGGGACCGATAGGCAATTTTTTAAAAAGAAGAAAGATGCAGGATCTCACGTCGGGGTATGTATCCAACAGAACTGAGAGCAGGGCCTCAAAGATGTATTCCCACCTTCTTAGTAGCATTAGTCACAATAGCCAAGAGGTAAAGCAAACCAAATGCCCACGAACGGATGACGAATAGGTAAACAAAATGTGGTCGAGCCAACAATGGAATATTACCCAGCTTTAAAGGAAGGAATTCCTGTCACGTGCAACAACATGGATGAGCCCTGAGGACACTGTGCAAAGGGAAATAAGCCAGTCACAAAAGGCAAACACTGTCAATTCCACTTGTGAGGTTCCTAGAGAAGCCAGACTCACGGGAGCAGGTGGGGTGGTGGCTGCTGGGAGCTGGGGCAGGGGCAGGGGACTTGTTCCCTGGGCGCAGCATCTCAGAGCTGCAGGATGAAAACGTTCTGAGACCTATTCCCAATGTGAGTGCACTTAGCACTATCGAACTGTACCTTTAAAATTAGTTAAGGTGATAAATTTTATGCTATGTGTCTTAGCACAATTTCTTATAAAAGAAAGACAAACACCTCCTAATTTCGCGTTCTAGAAATAGACTTTACAGTCTGTAATTAACAGCACTCTGGTAGCAAACCCGGCATCTCCCCACCAGTACCTCAGGCGGCTCACCGCCCTCATTCCAAGATGAATAGTTATTACCTACCTGCTCTGCCACCCTCTGCCTGCCCACCCCAGATAGCGAGCCTCGCCTCCGTCTCTCCCTCCCTGTCCCCACTCCCCTTTCCTTCCTCTTCACCCCTCCCTCCTTCCTCCCTTCTTACCTGGCTGCTTTCCTACAAATAATCACATGTTAAAGAACTTCTACTTTTATCCCCTCATTTAATGTTCACGCCAGCCCTGTAAGGTAGGTGTTCTTTCCACTTTACAAATTAAGACACAGAGACACAGCATTAAGTGTCGGTGCCAGTCACCTGACCAGTAAGTGGCAGAGCCCAGCTCCAAATCCCCCCTATACGACCATCCTGGATAGTGTTCTTACATTGCTGTGTGCACAACACTCCCTTAGGAACACGCGGGTTCCTGGCCCCTGCCCCCCGCCCCCAGACTGGTCTAGGGGCTGGAGTCTGGAATTTTAACAAGTAGCCGCCCAGGTGCCTCTGAAGCAGGTGACTGGTAAGCGCGCTCCTGAAACGCGCAGGCCACGGAGCCGGCCTGGCACGTGGGGGGCATGTGCACCCCGGGCGCTGGCTGCGGATTTGAGCTGCCCTCAGGGGCAGTGCAGTGACCCTGATATTCTACAAGGAACTGGCTGCACCAACACGGGTCCTTAGCTGGCAGCAAGCAGTTCTGAAGGGGGGAGGGAGGACAGCAGGAGGAGAGAGACCTAACCGCACTCGGCTCCACGGAAGACGGTCCTGCCCGTGACCATCGCACAGCCTGCCCTCTCGACATTCTTTCTGTCCCTCAGCGTCTGGCACTTGGACGTTGGGTGCACGCAAAGGGGACTAAATCGGCACTGCTCCTGGGGGGAGAAGACTGAAGTTGGGCCAGACGGAGGAGCACAGGAGGGAAGCACCTGACCCAGAGTGAGCCGCCGGCAAAGCCGGGTGGAGGTGAGGGTCTCCAGGCTGCCAGGCCTTCGCGCAGGCCCGAGTCCTGCAGCTCCCTGCCCAGAGGTGTGGGAGCCAGCTGTCCTTCCCAAGGCCCAGAGCTGGGGCAGAGCGGGCTCTGCAGAAACCAGGTCACAGGGATAAGAGAACTCTGCACCAAGCAACCTCCTGCCAGGCCAGGGCCATGCTGACTTAGACTGGATCTTGAGGGCTGAGTAGGTGAATGAGGGACAAAATTTGAACCGAAATGGTCTGAGTACAAAGAAAAATGTTCCCTGTGCAAATATGCTACCTTTATTCTACAACTAGGAGATAAAGTGAGATTTCTATGGATGCCTGTGTTGTACTTTTTTGATGGTCTTTAAAAAACCAACGAATTTGTGCTAAAGATGAAAAATTAATCATATTCCATAAAGCTAACCCTTGTGACTCCTTCCTGAGACAGGGCGTGAAGTTTGACATCAGCCAGAACTTCTGAAGAGTTCTAGAAGGAGACCTGGGGGCACCCAATCCTGAATTAGCCTGGAAGAACATGACGTCACCGTTTGACCATGAGGGACTGGGGCTACTGCTTCGGCAGGACCCAGGACCGGGTCATGCAGGGTAACGGGCTTACAGCAAATAGCTCAGTGCTATCCTGTGCCCAGCAAGTCCGAGCCTGGTTTACCCATAGGAACTCCCAAACCCACGTCCTCGCCAGGTTTTCCTCCTCCTAATCCAACTGATTATTGGATTTCTCCCCAGAGTGTGCCACTAGCTCCTCAACCCCACGATGTCCATACCAAACATCACTTTGCCTACCAACCCCGCCTGGCTTCTTGGGTTTCTTACTGAGTGAATGACACTACAGTCCACCCACTGTCCAAGCAGAGACGTGGGGCTCATGTTGACTTTTCCCATCCACCTAGTCTTGACCCTTCACATCTACTTTCTGTGCTATTTACAAATAATCTTTCTCTATGAGCTTCAAAAAAAGGTCCAAACTCTAACACTAACACCCAACTGGCTAACCTAATATCCTTAATGGCACAGCTCCTGTTCACCATTCCAATTTCATCTCTCTCGCATGACTTTCAAATCTCACACACACCAGACATCAGTTCCCAGATCACTCCATGCTTCATGATACGTCTGGGGGTTCTGTGCTTGCGGGTCCCCTGCTCACATGCCCTGTGCCCTGCCACCACTTAGTAGATGGCTGGTGTTCAGTCCAGTGCTACCGGTTCTGGAAGCCCTCTACTCACAACAGTCTTTCGTCTCCCAGTGCGCTCCCGCCAGGCTGTCAGCTGCCCTCTTAGGTGCGTCCACAGCCCCTGAATGTGCCCCTCGGAATGCGCTGCCGGCTGACCTGCAGGCCCCCTCACTGAACTGTGACTCATCTTGCAACGCCAGTTCCGACACAGGATCCAGTAGTACTCAGTGACTGCTCCCTGAATGAAGGAACAGTGAGAGTCTCGGGTATTAGCAGATCACAGGCAACATGAAATGCTTACATGTATCTACACACATGTAGTGGTGAAGCATCTTTAAGTAGAGGTGCGTGTGTGTGTGTGTGTGTGTGTGTGTGTGTGTGTGTGAGCACATACAGGCTATGGAAGATTATTAATTTTCCTGACGTGATTTTCCCTTTGCCTGTAATCCTGTGCCGGTTCCGCTGTGACTCCTTGTGCTCGATAACTGTACCCTGCCCTTTCACAGCCGCACCTCCTGCACAGCATGAGTCCTCTCAGTGCTCCCACCCAGCATCAGGGCGATAGGCTCACGACAGGTAGTCTGAAGAGGTGCGCATTCTAAAGACGGGGAGATAATTGCCACTTCCTTACATGAGCGAATTCTATTCAGTCTTCTTTTCTCTGGATTCAATTATCTCAGCTCCTTTAGCTCTTCCGCAAATGGTGACACGCTGGATCAGCACATTTACATTTTTACACTACTAGTAAGTTATTATCATCTCAAATGAGATCCGTAATTGGCATTCATTAGGAATTGATTATTAATGTTCACTTTCATACCTCGCTTCCACATTCAGAGTGCGGGAGTGCTTCGTGTGGTTCTAAAAAGGAGCTTTCATCACGATGCTACTCAGTTTCCATTTGTGGTCACGCTGCTCCCTCCCCAGACCTTTACAGACCAAACCTACGGTCATTCCAGGCATTTTCCATTTTGTCAGCTTAACTCATTGGAAGGTAACCTAGATTTTATTGCAGAAAATTAACAACCATCCATGGATAATGTTAAAGTGTTTTAAGAATAGTTTTTAAATAATTAGCAATTTGTCATCCCACAATGCAAGACATACCAAATAAACTTGTTTTAAACTGTTATGATCATCTTTTAAAAAATAGAATATCTTGAAATAGTTGTCATGAGAAATTGACTAGCATATTAGGGAATTGTAAGATATGATGTGAAATGAACAAAGATAAGCAATTTTTAAAAATTATCCTTTCAATTAGAAAGTGAGCCTTCTGAGTGTTTAATTTTCATCTATCACCATCATGGTTATGTAGTCCCTGTAATGAATGAAATTCGATTCTGGGCCAATTGCAGCAGACAGCATTTCTTCCATTTCCTCCTGAGAAAAGGGCTCACCTGGCAGAAACAAGAAGGGAAACTCATCATTCACAACCCTCTGGTGCTTTTCTTTCTCTTTCCACTACCAGCTTACCTGCCACGGGACCCCACCAGCCCCGTCGTGCCGCTCTCCCTGGGGCCGAGAGCCACCCGCCATGACAGTCCAGGGGCCCAGAGAGCATGCCGCTGCACCCCGGGCAGGATTGAGACTTACTTTACCTTGCAGATGTCATAGCTCAAGCAACCTTGGAATCTATCATTCCAGTCAAAATAGCAGAGGCCATCAAGACATCATGAATAAGGCTGTTTATTTACTTAAATTAAAACTATTGAAATTGCCCAAGGAGTAACCTGAAGTCCCGGTTTTATAGGGAGTCTAATTTTTATGGTTAGTAAGAGTATGAAGAGAGGATTCAATGGTTGCTTTACAAAACTGCTGAAGAGCAGATAACGGAGACTTGAAACTGTAACGATTATCTCTGAATATTCCCTAACTAGGTCTGGCCACCGCAGTGATGGCAGTTGCCCCCAGTGGCAGATGCCATCCAGCAGGCGCTCAAAGCACTCCTTTCTGTTTCCCACAGTTTCGTCCAGTGTTGCTGTCAAATGAAACCAGAAGGTGGGCTTTAGTCAGATTCAGGTAACAGCTGAGGGCCGAGGGCCGAGGGCCACCTTGGATCTTGGATATTGGTTTTAACAAGATGAGAAGCCAACTCAGGAAGAATGTTGGAAAGGCTATCGACTGTTTAAGAAAAACTTTGTCCTGATCTTAAACAAAAATACAGAAATATCCAAATTGTCACCTTACCTGTAGAGTCTTATGCAGGCAGGTAAGTTACCTAGGCCTGGGGGTCACCTGCCTTCTGAGCTTAAGTCACCTGCCTCTACAAACAATGCTTTCTAAATTGGAATTCGTTTAATAATCCAGGAATTATTCAAATGGGGATTTTGATGATAATGATGATGGTGTTATCAAACAAAGGGAATGTACTGAGTTCTTTTGAAATCATGCTTACATCCATAAGAAAAAAAGAATACCTGCCCTGGCCAGTGTGCTCGGTGGTTAGAGCATCGGCCCGTGCACGCAAGGGTTTGATTCCCTGTCAAGGGCACCTACCTGGGTTACAGGTTCGATCCCCAGCCCCAAGAGCAACCAATTGCACATCAAAGTTTCTCTCTCTCTCTCTCTCTCTCTCTCTCTCTCTCCTACTCCTTTCCTCCCTTCCACTCTCTCTAAAAATCAATGGATGAAATATTCTCAGATGAGGATTAACAAAAAAAAAAAGAAAAAAAGAAAGAAAGACTACCTGAAATGCTTAAAAGGACAAATTCTGAATCTTATGCCTGATTGTTAAATACTAAATATGCTACCAATAAACTTTGATGGGCACAATAAGTCCTTAAAAGAATACTAATAAACGAGAACTATGTGTGCTAGTCTTTCCTACGCAAAATTACTTGTACTTTTTATTTTGTATCACGTGATGAGAAACTCTGAATCAGGATTCAATCTGTGAACCAGTAAATTGAGCAAAGGAGATAGAACTCTAACAACTTTGCATGGGAGAAGGGGAGATGACCAATATGAGAATAGCCAAGAGAATGTCCATTAGGCTACTGACATTCAAAAAAAACAAACTGACATACCAGCCTAAGCAGAGAGAATTCCTATAGGAAATGTGTTGGCTTATGTGGTGTAGAGATATTATGTATAAGTCTGTGTGTGTGTGTGTGTGTATGTGTGTGTATGTGTACAGTTCAAGTTCAAAGCAAGAATCTTTGGTTCCATGAGCATAAAAAACTGAAAATTTTCAATAGTTCATGTTTTCTAGGTGGCATACCTTTTACTCTGGGAATACTCTAAGTGAATGGAATGCCTTCAATTTATAGAAGTATCATTATACTTTAATGAAGTCCTATAAAGGCAAAAATCCATCTCCCCTTACTACATACCCTTTTCCTCTTACCTACTACTAAACAGAAACCATCCCAATACCAAAATAATAGGAATAGTAAATAACTTTTTAACCAGAATGACTGATTTTAAAGTATCCCCTAGAATTTTTGCATAATTGTTAACCACTTAAATAAGTCACTGTTACAAGATATGTAATAAATAATTCTTACCTTCTTCAGTCATATACTTGATCAGTTCTTCCTTAGAAAGATATCCACGTTTAGTTGGATCTAATACCTAGAAGATAGAAATTATATTTTTTATTTGATGAATAAATTCTACATGATGAATTTTTCATATATATATATATATATATATATATATATATATAAATAAAATCTGGAGCTTACATACCTCAAAAGCTTGAAGAAGGATTTCTTCTGGAATTGGTCTGTATCTAAGTTATGCAAAAAAAAAGACGTAAATACCACAGTATTTAGCTCAGGCTCTACATAATAAATGATCGCATAAAATAAAACAAACACTGCTAACATACTAGAAAAATAATGCTTCCTTCACTGAACTCTTTTTTGGTTTCTAGATATGAAAGTTGAAAGCATTCCACATCCACGGGAAATAGTTCAAAATCACTGGCATGTTTAATATTACCTATTAATTTTTTCATCATCATAGAAATCAATTTATCTTGGAACAAAATTTTTTAAAATATTTTATTGGTTTTTTTACAGAGAGGAAGGAAGAGGGATAGAGAGTTAGAAACATCGATGAGAGAGAAACATCAATCAGCTGCCTCCTGCACACTCCCTACTGGGGATGTGCCCGCAACCAAGGTACATGCCCTTGGCTGGAATCGAACCTGGGACCTTTCAGTTCGAAGGCCGATGCTCTATCCACTGAGCCAAACCGGTTAGGGCAGAACAAAATTTTTATAATAAACCAAATATACTAAGATAATGCTACTCTTTCTCAAGAAAAATAATTAGGGTTAATTCTTATTTATCATTGATAATTCAAAATAATAAGAATGTTGTTGACTTATGTTTTTTGTAGCTTATTTGCCCTTTAATTACACTTTGCTTATTAGATTAATACTGAAGTGATTGATATTTTTAAATAAATACCAACTAGCAGAGCATAGTGAAAAGTTAGAAGGAAGCAATCCTGGGAAAAATACTGGGTGATGATAATATATAAAGTGAAAAAAAAACAATTTGCAATTAATGTAATTATAGTCATTACTTTACCATTGCACTTACTTTCTTACCTTTTTTCCACTAGTATATTGGTCATCACTGGAAGAAACTTTTCAAATCGAATGTATCCAGTGGGTTCTTCTTCCTCTACCTAAACATTCAATAAAAAAGTCACTTATTCATTCAACAAATACACTGAGCAGCTACTTTCCCAAGCACTGTGCCAAGTGTTGGGGATTTGATAATGAGCATCCTTGGGCCTGGGCCCTGCTCCCAGAGTTTATATTCTGGTAGTGGGGACGTATATTAACCAAAAAACAACACAGCTGAGTGTCTAATTATAAGTTTATGTATGAAAAATGAAGTCAAGGGGCATGGGCCTATTAGAGCACAGAACAAAGGAAACTTTTCTCAGCCAGGAGACCAGGAAAGGCATTCGTGAGGAAATCACCCTGGAGCTGATGAGTAAAGGATGCATAGAAAGTCATCAGACAAAGACTGCAGTAAAGAGACTCCCAGCAAGAGGAAATTACATGCACTTAAGACCTGTGTGATGTGTTGCCTTGGAGGCCAGGAGGCTGAAGCATAGGGAGTGAGGAGAATGTTTCCAGATGAGACTGCAGAGACAGGGATCAGACCTTGCAGGGCCTTACTGTCTATGAAAGTGACTTCAGTTGTTATCCTAAGGCCAATGAGAAATCACTGACGTATGTCTGAAAGATACACTGGTTGTGGGTAAGGTGGCTTCTGTAGCAATAAATCTAAGGGTTTGGGTTAGACTGGTAGCCACGGAGAGAGAAGTAGATGGTATCAAAAACTGCTCCAGAAGTAAAATCAATAGGACCTGGTGGGCAAGGATGAGGAAAAAAGAGAAGAGTCAAGGACAACTCATAGGATTCTAACTTGCACAAATGGGATGGATTGATGTTTCCCCTGAGAGAAGGAACACTGCATAAGGGGCCAGGTTAGGGGACCAATCATGATCTCAATGACCATGTATTGAGTCATTGTAAAATAGTTATTAAACACTTAGATGGTCGCCCTCGCTGGTGTGGCTCAGTGGATGGAGCAGCAGCCTGCAGACTGAAGGGTCCCAGGTTCGATTCCAGTCAAGGGCACATGCCTGGGTTGTGGGCTCGATCCCCAGTGAGGGGCGGAGGGTGTGCAGGAGGCAGCCAATCAATGATTCTCATCATTGGTGTTTCTATCTCTCTATCCCTCTCCCTTCCTCTCTGAAATCAATAAAAAATATATATTAAAAAAATACCTAGATGGTCAACAGAACTTTGTTCTACCACTACTAGTTAGGAGAACACTACACCTGGAAAGAGAGTGTTTGGTACCCAGCACTGTTAGATGAGAATGAGAAAGACTCTTGCCCATGGGTTCAACTGTGATGGTGGCTGAACAAAACACCATCGATCTTAACTTTCATGTCAGGTTATTTACCAGGAGCTGTAAATTTTCCACTGCCTTTCAAAAATCCTATTAAAAGGCTCATAAATCCCAACTCAACAGAAGAGCTTTTAACAGATTTATTCTTTGAACAAAAATAAGAAATCTATAGGCTGCTGCTACATGGAACACACTGTCTTCCGAATGACCACTATTTGTTTAATGTTTATACTAGATTCTCGCCTAGTATGAGTGGAGTCCTTAGATTCCACTATTGGCAGAATATGTCCTCGTCTAATGATAGAATGATGTGTTTCTAAGCCCATCAATATATGACCAATTATCTTCAGCTGCCTCTAGGTCCAAGGCAAGCATTTTGCAAATGAATGTTCACATGGCCCTGATGTGCTTGAATGGGTCACACCCTGATTCCCAAACCCAGGAGCTTCTTAAAAATAAAACGTCAATCTCAAGAGACTACCTTTGGAGGGATAATTTTTAAAGTAAAATGTTGAGTTTCTATTCTGATTCCTCAAGAAATCTACTCCTTGCCCTAACCAGTTTGGCTCAGTGGATGGAGCGTCGGCCTGCGGACTGAAGGGTCCCAGGTTCGATTCCGGTGAAGGGCATGTACCTTGGTTGCGGGCACATCCCCAATAGGCGGTGTGCAGGAGGCAGCTGATCGATGTTTCTCTCTCATCGATGTTTCTAACTCTCTATCCCTCTCCCTTCCTCTCTGTAAAATATCAATAAAATATATTTTTTTAAAAAAAAGAAATCTACTCCAGAGCAATGGTTTGCTTTCCTTCCCTCCACCCCCAACAAACCACTGTAGAGCAAATAGTCTCAACTGTGAAAGAGAGACCCCACTTTATTTCACGAGCATCCTCACCAATCTACAAACTGTTTTTAGTTTTTCCAGATGGAGTTCAGCTCTACAGCACACCCTCCACTACATGAGAATTCACAAACACATGACATTATCTAACAAAGCCCCACTTGCACCCACTCCAGTTTCCATACAACCTCCAGGAGCCCTTGGTGCTCTGAACACTGAACACTAGGGTGAAAATTCTGCGGTTCATTCTGGCCTGACAGATCAGTGTGGAGCCAAAGTTGCACAAAAATAATAAGTTAAAGCAGATTTCCAACCAATCAGGATAGCAGAAGAGGCAAAAATTTTCTTTGGCTTTTTTAAACAGAGGGATAATGAATAAAAGCCATGTAGCTCAAAATGAAGGAAACTAAGTTCATCTTCAACTTGGGCAGATTGTGAAAATCTGTCTATGACCCAACACTGTCCCCTGGAGGCCACATCTTATCCATTTTTTATACAAAAAGATCCATGAGCAATGGCATAAAACAGATATATGATGATTCTAAATACACTAAAATAGACTGTTTTATATATATCAAACACTATTTTATATTATAAAAGGTTTTTTACTGTTCAAATAAGCTTTTTAGTTTTAGATTTACAGAAAAGAGATATAGATTTCCCATATTCCTCCCACCCAGTTTCCCCTATTGTCAACCCTTGCATTACTATAGTACATATTGGTTCATTGTCACAGCTAATGAACCAATATTGATACACAATTATTCACTAAACTCCATGCTTTATTTGGATTCCATTAGTTTATCTAAAAGGCATTTTAAAGAGATGGTCTATTCCTTTATCATAGGAGAGAAACAAGGAGCAAAGTAGAGTAGCCCTTCTGAGAATCTAGAAGCAGGTGTGAGATATGGGAGGATAAGACAGGTTCTATTACTTCTGGTGCATAATAGCTAATTTATGAGGTCATTAGTAAGATCATATAAATATACTACTTTCTAGAAATGTTTGTTATCCAGTGATGACTCAATGATTATTTAAATCCCATGTATTGCAATGCCTTTAAGATTTAATAGAAATATATCAAATACTGAACAATATACATAAACACACAAATATAATATGTACATATACACATATAGTAAGCATACAGATATAGTGATAAAGATAGAGAGATGAAGAGTAAGAAGGAGTATTTGGGGTTGAATTGTGTCCTCCCAAAATCCATAGGTTGAAGTTCTATGTAACTGTTTTGGAGACAGGGTACTTGCAGAAGTAATCAAAGTAAAATGAGGTCATTGGAGTAGGGCCTAAACCGCTATGGCTGGCAGCCTTCTAAAAGGGGGAAATGTGGACACGTAGGCATGTACACAGGAAGAGCACCACGCGAACATAGAGACAGTCATGCACAAGCCAGGGGAAAGGCCTGGAACAGGTCCTCCCCTCATAGCAGGACCAAGCCTGCTGACGCCTTGACTTCAGACTCCTGACCTGGAACTGTGAGAAATACTTACTTACTAACTATGCATGGCACATTTTAATCCAAAGACTCTGAATCACTGTCATCAAGCATAATTCCTTACTCATCTCCTGGAGATTAGCAAAGCAGATAGTCAAAATTTAGAATTGATTTTACAGAGTTGGTAGAGAAAATGATACATTTCAGACCTACTTTCTCAGCAGAAAACTCAATTAACCAACTTATAATGAAGTCAAGAAAGATTCCCTAACTTACAGCAGACAAGTTCGAAGACTAGGAATTCATTGCCATTTCTTCACTAACAGCAAAGTCATGCTGGGAAAATCACTTCACTTTGATATGGCTTAGGCCGCAGGGGTGGGCAAACTTTTTGACTCGAGGGCCACAATGGGTTCTTAAACTGGACCGGAGGGCTGGAACAAAAGCACGGATGGAGTGTTTGTGTGAACTAATATAAATTCAAAGTAAACATCATTACATAAAAGGATACGGTCTTTTTTTTTTTTAGTTTTATTCATTTCAAACAGGCCGGATCCGTTTGCCCACGGCTGGCTTAGGGTCTTTAAAAAATGATGTTGCCTTCTTCATAGAAAAATATAACAATGTAGTCACCATGTTAGGCCAAGGCTAGTTTAAAATATTCTGATTAAATTCATCCCCTAGCTTCATGTCCTTGTTTGTAATTCAGGGAGAACATGGTTGTTGTGAAGGTTTCACACGATGCCATGAAGGTGCTTTGTCAACCTTGAGATTCTATTACAATCACTAGAGGCCCAGTGCACGAAAATTTGTGCATGGGGCGGGGGAGGGGGGTCCCTCAGCCCGGCCTGCGCCCTCTCACAGTCCAGGAGCCCTCAGGGGATGTCCTACTGATGGCTTAGGCCCGCTGCCCACAGGGAGGGGGCCTAAGCCGCACTCTGGCCTCCCTCTGTAGGAGGCGACCAGGCCAATCAGGGGAAGGCACCACCCCTATCACCCTGCCACTGCCAGCCGCTGCCATGGCCACCCTCAGCCCTCACAGCTGCCTTCAGCCCTCACAGCCGCCATGGGCGCCGCGGCTTTGTCCAGAAGGTCGTTCATCTGTCTGGTCTAATTAGCATATTATGCTTTTATTATTATAGATTATTTCTGTCAATAGTCGAACACACTTTTGGTTCTATTTCATGCAATGACACCTCCTCCTGAAAGAATCAATTTCTGGTGCTAAAATTTCAGACACATCCTCCTTGGCTCACCATACAGACCTAACTGTTTCTGCCTCCCAACCATCCAGTGCAGCATGGAATGTGGTGAGAATGTATTAAATTGCTGGGCATATCTACCAGCCCGTCCGTCGTCCCTGGACCCCTGCCTAGTGGACAGGGTATGTGCATTAGCAGTGAGGCCTCCACCTCCACTGTTTCCCTACCTGCCTCGTTGGAATGATACAAGGAGAGTAACA